GCATGTATGTATACCTGCGATTGGAGTTGGAAATGTCGGAAATGTTTCGGAGGTAATCTTCGCAGCTGGAGGCCTGGATATTGTCAGTCTCCAGAGGTCCACAGTTGGTGTACTCCACCTCCAGCTCCCTCAACTACACACACACACACACACACACACACACACACACACACACACACACACACACACACACACATATTCACACACACAAGAGAGCAAAATGCTAGAAAGAACACAAGTGGTGAGCGAAGCCAGCAGTTGGTTATTTTTTTTGCTCATTTTCACATGTAGAATTACGTATAACATTACAGTGTATGTGCAGTGTAGATTGAGGGGTAGTTGAAAAACAAACCCACATTCAGAAAACGAGACAGGAAAAACTGTACAGAATCACTTGTGTGAAGGAATTGTACTTTTACAGTGTGTTTGGCTATGAATTACTGCAGAAACCCCTTGTGCAATTAAACATTAGTTGTGTGACCTTTTGGTACCCGCTAATCATTACAAGCCACACCCCAACAATTACAGAGGTGTTGTTTAATTGTGCCTTTGAAGAATTCTAAAGTGAACCTACAGGCTAGGCTACTATACTCAGTAACTCACCCCGACAGTGGCAGCAACAAAGACGATTCCCAGGATGAGGAACAAGATGCCCACTATGATGAACAGGCCAAACACATACTTGGCGGTGAATACTGGTCTACAGGCTGGGATCTGCTGCTGGAGCCATTTGTTAGCTGGGAGATAGACATAAGACACAAACATGAGAGTATAGAGGAGGGAGGGAGATAGACACACACATTGGGGGCATTGGGGATGAGGTGAGGGGGAGGGCGAGTGAGAAAAAGGGAGAGGGAACAGTGGCAGGAAAGGGAAAGGGAGGGAAAGTGAAGTAATCTACCGATGTGAGGAGGCAAAGAAGGCACTTCAAAAAGGGTGAGTGTGGTAACGTACAGGGCGGTCTCCTGGACTTGGGGCGGTCACTCCCCCTACGAAACCGCCTGGGGAGGCAGCCGGTGGTGGAGGAGCTGTCGTCTCTCGTCTTCTCCGGGGACTCCTGTTGGCTCCCTCCCTCTGGAGTAGCCACCCTCCGTTGAACGATGGTCTCAGTGCCACTGACTGACGTAGCCATGAACGCGATCGTCTTGCTACTTGCCTCTCTCCAGAATAATGTACGACGATAAGCCACGCCCTGATACAGGCGCGTTACGTCAGGGCGGAAATCGGCGCGCATGCGCTATACGCAGAATCTAGGCGCGCGCGGCTATACGCGCGACCGAATATTTTCCTGCAACGTTGCTCAAACGTAGCTGACAAGTTTTAGTCGTCGGCAGCGCAGGCGTGATCAAGCCTATCAACTAGCGGCGCTTTTTGTACACGCGTATAAGAGTGCTCAGAGGAGGATTTGCACTTTAGGAGAATTGGCAGCGCCAGAATTTAGAGTTACAATACAGTAGCTTTATAACTAACTACAACAAGTGTCTCAAATAATTCCTTGCGGTTAGCACCTAGACAAAATCCTCAATTTTTATGTAGCGCAGATAGACTTCTTCTGAGCCATTGTGCCTGAATACACGAAGAAAGAGTTGTTTGTCAGTATCTAGCTTAGTATTGAATGTTCCGGTGTTGAGGTAGCCTCCATTTTGACCGGTCTCGCATGTTGCATATTTGAAAAATGGAACAAACGAAAGAGTAATTGTTGGTGGAACCTTGGTACCGGGAGGAACCAAGTTATTGTCGTGGGAACCATTAATTGGACGACAAGGTGGATAGGTAGCATAATCATTGGCATCTACAAGAAATTGGAGATGGTTATTTGTACCATCAGAGATCCCAACAACTAAATCAGCATCAACTCCCTTTTTGTTATAATAAGAATTCACCAAGGCAATGGTTATGGTGTAGGCATTCCTTGGGTCTTGGGGCCCTAGGGGGAATTCAAGAAGTAGATCATTGTCCTCACCAGCGGAAAAATGAATGATCTCGATTTTATATTAGCGGTTGGGTGCAGGTGTCGCAACATAACGGATGTGTCAGGGGTGAGAAGCTACCAGCTATTGTGCCATGAATCTGAGGAAAAGATTTGCCAATGAACAACAATATCAACAATTTAGCGAATTAGTTTTCACTTACGCCCACACTGGACAATGAAAATAACGAGCAGAGGAACAATATTAGATAACAGTGTTGCCTCTCTCATGCCTCTATATTATAGCCACTTTCACAGCTGGTTTAACAGATGCAGCAAATGGCAAGGAGTTGGCCCTTTTTGAAGCTGCATAGCAGCTTGATAGCAGAATAGAGATAGTACCTACTCCTCACTGGTCACTTTGTTCCATCAACATCACAGCATACTCTTCCTACCAGCAGAAAGATGATACATTACTCTTCATAGCACTTTGATCTCAGACTAAAGATAGTACCTACTCCTCACTGGTCACTTTGTTCCATCAACATCACGCATACCCTTCCTACCAGCAGAAAGATGATACCTACTCCTCACTCCACCCCCCATTACTCTTCATAGCAACTTGATCTCAGAGTAAAGATAGTACCTACTCCTCACTGGTCACTTTGTGCCATCAACATCACAGCATACCCTTCCTACCAGCAGAAAGATGATACCCACCCCCATTACTCTTCATAGCAGTTTGATCTCAGAGTAAAGATAGTACCTACTCCTCACTGGTCACTTTGTTCCATCAACATCACAGCATACCCTTCCTACCAGCAGAAAGATCATACCCACCCCCATTACTCTTCATAGCAACTTGATCTCAGAGTAAAGATAGTAGCTACCTACTCCTCACTGGTCACTTTGTTCCATCAACATCACAGCATACTCTTCCTACCAGCAGAAAGATGATACCCGCCCCCATTACTCTTCATAGCAGCTTGATAGCATATATGCTATCATCTTTCAGCTGGTACAAACAGTATGCTGTAATGTTGATAGAACTAAGTGACAAGTGAGGAGTAGGTACACTTGTCACTTTGTTCCATCGTCTACATCAACATCACTGCATACCCTTCATAGCTACCAGCAGAAATATGATACCCACCCTCATTACTCTTCAATTGTCATTCCTCAATAACCAAGCCTCCCTCCGTCTCTTGTGGTGTGTGGCAGAAAATATACTGCAACAGCTACATTATACTGACCAACACAAACAGCTACTATGACTCTGACTTTGCATGCATGCATTCCGAGGGTTAACAATAGTTAGAAGTGCAAAGTGCAAAACATACATGTTTCTCTAGCGAACCCCACCATAATTGGGGCAATAAACCCCCATAAAGTAAAGGCACCCCATGATTATACGCTCCCTTTATAGCTAGACACCCAAACGATAGTGCAAGCTGGGACTGGACTACTGGCACTGGCCGGGGAAGGGGAGCTAGTCCAGTCTAGTCTAGTCTGAAGGGGCGCATTAGCAGCTACCTGTCCCGCAAGGGGACTATAGTGTTGTTTCTACTCTTTTATCATTTCACATGAAAAAGAGTATGGCACACACCATAGCTAGACATCCTGCCATAATTTCGCTGCTAATGTTAAAATAAGCTGCGCTTGTTGTCCAGATTTTATACTATCCAACGAGAGTTAGATTTGCTATGGGACTGTAGAGCAAGGTTGATGACTTCAGAACTGCTAAAAGTTGTGTGTTTCTAAAGCAATTCCGTGACCTATCACAAGCAAAGAAAGCGCTGGACGGATGTGGCTCAAAACTAGCCTCGTTCCCACATCCCAGGCTACTTGGAGGACGGGCATTCAGTCCAGTGTTGCTCAAACGTTTATCACTGTAGCTGGCCAGTCTTATTGGCGAGCGGGAGCGAGCTAACCTAGTGGTCCGAACGGCGCGATTTTTCGAGTACTCGATTTTTCTAACCGCGTACGTCGTATAAGTGTGCATGCGCGGCTTCGTTACTCGCTTCTTTTTATCCGAAATCATTTCCAAATTTTTAAACATTCACACACGCTGCCTCGCGATATGCGCCGATCGATCAAGCCAGCGAGACAACTCTCCTCGGCATGCGCTGCAATCGCTGCCCCGCTGCCCTATAGCTGTAGCTAGCTAGCAACCTCGGCATCATCGATTCTGCGATTGATTGGTCTAGAGAAGATGCCCTTCGTCGTCGACGAGAAAGGGAAAGAGAACGTCGTGCCAGTGAGACTTCTGAGCAAAGAGAGGCCCGTCTTTCTCGACGGCGACTGCGTGATAGGGAACGGGCAAGGCAACGCCTGGCCACGGAAACAGCGGAAGAAAGGGAAGCACGACTAGCGAGAAATCGTGTACGAGCAAGAGCTACACGTGCTGCGGAATCAGAGGAAACGCAACAGGCCAGACTCCAACAGATCCGAAGCTATCAGACAAGGAGAATTGCCGTCGAGACAGTCATAGTGTGCTCGCTCCCGCTCGCCAAAAATGCCATGCATTCTCCTACTAGTATAGTCGTCGCCAGCGCGGGCGTGGCCCAGCCCATCAACTAGCAGCGCTTTTTGTACACGCGTACACGCGTGAGTCCTCAGCCAAGGATTTGCACTTTGGGAGAAGTGGCAGCGGCAGAATTTAATTAATTGAGAGTTACAATACAGTAGCTTTATAACTATCTACAACAAGTGTCTCAAAAAATTCCTTGCGGTTAGCACCTAGACAAAATCCTCGATTTTTATGTAGCGCAGATAGACTTCTTCTGAGCCATTGTGCCTGAATACACGAAGAAAGAGTTGTTTGTCAGTATCTAGCTTAGTATTGAATGTTCCGGTGTTGAGGTAGCCTCCATTTTGACCCCGTCTCGCATGTTGCATATTTGAAAAACGGAACAAACCAAAGAGTAATTGTTGGTGGAACTTTGGTACCGGGAGGAACCAAGTTATTGTCGTGGGAACCATTAATTGGACGACAAGGTGGATAGGTAGCATAATCGTTGGCATCTACAAGCAATTGGAGATGGCTATTCGTACCATCAGAGATCCCAACAACTAAATCAGCATCAACTCCCTTTTTGTTATAGTAAGAATTCACCAAGGCAATGGTTATGGTGTAGGCATTCCTTGGGTCTTGGGGCCCTAGGGGGAATTCAAGAAGTAGATCATTGTCATCACCAGCGGAAAAATGAATGAGTCTCGATTTTATATTAGCGGTTGGGTGCAAGGTTGTCGCAACATAACGGATGTTGTCAGGGGTGAGAAAGCTACCAGCTATTGTGCCATGAAACTGAGAAAAAGATTTACCAATGAAACAAATTATCAACAAATTAGCGAATTAGTTTTCACTTACGCCACACTGGACAAATGAAAATAACGAGCAGAGGAACAATATTAGAATAACAGTGTTGCCTCTCATGCCTCTAATATTATAGCCACTTTCACACTGGTTAACAGATGCAGCAAATGGCAAGGAAGTTGGCCCTTTTATGAAGCTGCATAGCAGCTTGATAGCAGAATAGAGATAGTACCTACTCCTCACTGGTCACTTTGTTCCATCAACATCACAGCATACTCTTCCTACCAGCAGAAAGATGATACCCGCCCCCATTACTCTTCATAGCACTTTGATCTCAGACTAAAGATAGTACCTACTCCTCACTGGTCACTTTGTTCCATCAACATCACAGCATACCCTTCCTACCAGCAGAAAGATGATACCTACTACCCCCATTACTCTTCATAGCAACTTGATCTCAGAGTAAAGATAGTACCTACTCCTCACTGGTCACTTTGTTCCATAAACATCACAGCATACTCTTCCTACCAGCAGAAAGATGATACCCGCCCCCATTACTCTTCATAGCACTTTGATCTCAGACTAAAGATAGTACCTACTCCTCACTGGTCACTTTGTTCCATTGTCTACATCAACATCACAGCATACTCTTCCTACCAGCAGAAAGATGATACATTACTCTTCATAGCAACTTGATCTCAGAGTAAAGATAGTACCTACTCCTCACTGGTCACTTTGTTCCATAAACATCACAGCATACTCTTCCTACCCGCAGAAAGATCATACCCACCCCCATTACTCTTCATAGCAGCTTGATCTCAGAGTAAAGATAGTACCACTCATCACTTGTCACTTTGTTCCATCAACATCACAGCATACTCTTTGTATCAGCAGAAAGATGATATACCCGCCCCCATTACTCTTCCTAGCAGCTTGATAGCAGAGTAAAGATACCTACTCCTCACTTGTCACTTTGTTCCATTGTTTACATCAACATCACTGCATACCCTTCATAGCTACCAGCAGAAATAATGATACCCATCCCCATTACTCTTCAGTTGTCATTCCTCAAGAACCAAGCCTCCGTCTCTTGTGGTGTGTGGCAGAAAACGTGCAACAGCTATTATACTGACCAACACAAACAGCTACTATGACTCTGACTTTGCATGCATTCCGAGGGTTAACTATAGTTAGAAGTGCAAAGTAAAACATACATGTTTCTGTAGCGAACCCCACCATAATTGGGGCAATAAACTCCCATAAAATATGGGCACCCCATGATTATACGCTCCCTTTATAGCTAGACACCCAAGCGATAGTGCAAGCTTGGACTGGACTAATGGCACTGGCCGGGGAAGGGGAGCTAGTCCAGTCTAGTCTGAAGGGACACATTAGTAGCTACCTGGCCCGCAAGGGGACTATAGTGTTGTTTCTACTCTTTTATCATTTCACATGAAAAAGAATATGGCACGCACCACAGCTAGACATCCTCCTATAATTTGGCTGCTAATAAGCTGCGCTTGTTATTCAGATTTTATACTATCCAATGAGAGCTCGATTTGCTATGGGACTGTACAGCAAGGTTGATGACTTCAGAACTGCTAAAATGTGTGTGTTTCTAAAGCAATTCCGTGACCTATCACAAGGAAAGAAAGCGCTGGACGGATGTGGCTCAAAACTAGCCTCGTTCCCACATCCCAGGCTACTTGGAGGACGGCCATTCAGTCCTGTGTTGCTCAAACGCTTATCACTGAGCTTTGATGTTGCACTTTCATTACTCAAAAAAAAAGCATAAAGGTCCGGATTGAGTGAGATATGTTATAAATGCCTCGAGCAGGCTGAAAGGCAGGCACAGAGGCTGTGCGTAGGTCTGTAAAACGGCAGAAAGAAAGATCGCCACAGCGCGCGTGCGCGGGATTAATGGGGTGTGTCGATTTGGGCAGAAAAACGCATCTGTGCAGGAGAGTTGCTGAAAAACGCCGATCGGTCGCTCGCAGAAGCCGATTTCGTGACTGAAACAGATATACAAGGATGCGTTCACAGGAGAAGGTAGAGCTGCCCGGCGCTCGTGGAAGCACTGGCTGTTAGCTTCGGTGAGCTACTTGGTCATCTCGTTTTCGTAGTTATCCATGAAATGAACGAGTAGCTTTGTCCATCAAACGTGCGCATGCGCTTATTTGAAGCCTAAGACAACCACCGAGGGGTCCGACACGGGTGTGGGAATCTCCTACGCTTATAGTCAGAAATCAGTAGAAATCAGTTGGGAATCGGATAACGAGTTGCCGTGCGCGCGCTGCTTTTCTGCTCCGTATAGCTCCGTTCACTATAGTAAACTACAAGGGCGGCCGAATTTTCTCACCATAAATGCCTCTTACTGCGAAATCATAGTGTTCGCCAAAAGCACCATCAGCACCCATGCAGCCGAAGCACACAACCTCCCAGTGAAGGAAGAGGCTAAATGCCTTGGCTATACCTGTGGGAAAGGAATTTATCCTCACTGTGCTAAGATTTTTAAGAAAGCGAGAAAAGCCTTTTTTTCAACTTGGCACCATCCATGCCTTCCAGGGTAGTCAAAGCCCAGTGTCATCATCCTCGATTGTGCAGAGTTGCGTTCTCCGTATGGAGTTCAAAATTGTGTTTTATCCTCCGAATCCATCAAAAGGTTGGAATGCTTTCAAGGGGAAGTTGCCAAAAGAATCCTCCAGTTGCCTCAATGGTACTGAAACAAAGTAGCATGCATAGCTCTTGGTTGGAGCTCCAGCCACTCGAAATGTACCATTAGAAGGTTGAACTTTTTGCACCGAGTTATGACAAACGAAGAGAGTATCTGCTATCGGGCTTACTTGGTGATGGTCGATGATGTTGAGACACTTACATCTCATGCGTGAGTGCAGAGAGCTGGAAGAGAGATAGCTACAAGCACAAGTTCACAACGCAGATTTTAGAAACTGCCAAGCATCGAGATGGGGCAGAGAAGCACATACTTTGGGACCGCGCTCTGGACCATGGCCTGCACGTTGGGGTACAAAGAGCTTGTTACGAGAGATAACCTACCCACAACATGCTACAAAGAAATGTCAACTATGTGATATCAATGTTCTCGACCTGCAGGATCTAGCTACCCAAGCATTGTGTGGAGGAACACACAAAAAGTGAAGTGGCAAAAAAATGAACCCTATCTCAAACAGGTTCCAGATGCAAACACAGGATTGCACTAACAAAACTCCAAGTTAGCTGCCCTGAAACAATTGAAACCCTCCGATACAACAAACCTCCCTCCATCCCCTTCAATAAAAGGCATTGCACACAACTGCATAGCTAGCTACTTTTGAAGTATGTCAATGTCAAAAGCAACAAGAATAATTATGAGGGTGAACCTGTTTTGCCAAATCAATTATGTACCCATTATCACCCCCTTCAACTTTAACTAACAGATAATGAATAATGAACAACCAGAAATTCTCAACTCACTCGCTGCATTTGTTTACAGTTTCTACTCAGATATTATAGCCTCCCTGGCATAATCATTATCAAGCCAGTGTAGCGCTGAACCAGTTGGTGTCCACTTAAGGCCGGCTTGTTGTGCCTGGTTGCAGATAACCCGGTAACAGACAGACGACACACTTACAAACCCAAGTAACAGCGCATGCGTACTACGCGCTATAATAGACGCGCGGGTCCGTAGCTCCAAATTAATGTTCAACATGAAGCGCTTTTCGTTGATGTTTGGTTTACTGTGTGCAACATCCCTTTCAACTGTGCTGGGCGTAGATCTAACTATTGATGAAGGAGGAAGTGGAGCTGAGGTTGTGTTAGCCACCGTCACCAAAATCGAAAGTAGCGGAATATTCTGCTCGTCGGATAAGCGTGTTTTGCGAAGAATTGCTTTCGTCGAGACAAGAGATGGAGCTGATCAGCTCCTCGAGCCTAACGGTGGCGTCTGGAACGTTCCAATGGAGGCGTTTTCAATTATCCAGCGCGATCCGGTTCTAGCTGTACTAAGAGATGAAATAAACTCTGCTTTTACCACCGAGTTGGCTGCATTAGGCGTCGAAAGATGGGAGGACCTAGAATGGAGAGATCTCACCAAGCCACTGCTCTCAGGTCTGGCAGCGAGGCTGATGATCAGTCTCGCAGTAGAGCGTAACGGAAGTCTACCTACATCAAGCGATGTCAGAGGTCAGGCTTTGTTCTGGAAGGCGTGGTATAACACGAGTGGAGATGTGGATAAATTTGTCTCTGATGTTGAGCAGCTTGAAAAGGGCGAAAGTAAGTTGAAGTCCTTTCACGTTTTGGGCTCAATAATAATATTATCTGGTTCTTTCGCATATTATAGGTTGCACAATAAAATCAGATGTCATTTTTGTTCTCGATTCGTCAGGAAGTGTTGGACGTGAAAATTATCGTGAGGCTGTCAATTTCACTTTCAGATTTGTTGAGGCCCTTGACATTGGTCCAGAAGACAACAGAGTAGGGGTGGTAATTTACAGCTCTCATGGTCACACTATATTCAATTTGAATAATTACACAGAAAAAGGAGAAATGCTAGAAGCGATTGAAAGTATCCCTTACATAGATGGAGGTACAAACACAGCAGATGGACTGTGTCTCTTGCTTGAAGGATTTAGTGAAGAGAACGGTGCGAGACTGTCTGAAGGCGGTGTGTTTAGGTTGGCTGTCGTAATGACGGACGGACATTCAAATCGTATTACGTCAGATTGCAACTACACCTCTACCATTGAAGCTGCTGAGGCAGTCCACGATTTCTCTCACCCTATCTTAGTGTTTGCTATTGGTGTAACCAACGGTGTTAATGACGAAGAGCTCAAGGCCATTGCTAGTAGAGATGACTACATTACGTACTTGGATAATTTCAACGAATATCTCTTCAGAGAAACAAGTGATGAACAAACATATGAATTGTGTGAAAGAGGTACGTCGGTTCCCTCCTTATCTGTTATTCATAGCCTAGAAATATGAAATGAATGAAATTTAGAGCGCACTCGTATACAATGAATATATTTTCTCCTGCAGCTACCATCCCAGTTGAGGTTGGACAGCAGGTGGGCTCACTCCCCAGAGGAGGAAGAGTGCGCTATGAATTACAAGTGCCTGTGGATGGCGTGACTGTCAATCTCTGCGTGAATATAGGCACTGTCCTCTTCTACGGGTCCTTTACCGTTCCGAATCCCAATTCCGCACTGTACGATTACATTAAGGAGGTTGAAAGTAGAGGCGGGAATACATGTGGGGACGTTTTTATACAACCACAAGTCGAACTTTCCACTATTAACCGAGTTAAACGTCGTGCTAACGATAGGGTCTCCCCAATAAATGCTACTACTACTGCTAATCTGTATATTTCTCTGGAGGGAACGGGAGACCAGAATATGTTTGTCCTGGAAACCTCTGTTGGTGATAACACATGTCCAGGTAAAATTCTGTTAGTACAGATGTATGCGCCAATCTGCTTTTTATTAGCATAATATCAATAATTGTATGAAGTTTGTGTAAAATTAAGTAAGGATGGTGTCTTCAAAGAATAGTGATTGTTGATTCTGCTAACACATCGGCACCATTATAATATACATACATAACGAAAAAATTAAAGAGTAGGCACAATGCAAAATTTTTATGTACCTGCCACTTCAACTCCTTAACCTTTTGATGCCATGGGTATCTCCTTAACTAAGCATTAATTGATGTAGCTACGCCTAGTATTATAGCCCCACATAAATTCTTATGGGTTTATGGAGGCTCTGGACATAATTATTTTATGTCCGTGGCTTGCATGTCATGACTCCTATTATTATTTTCTGCAGGAGACTCGAATGAGGAGTTCCCAGTGATAGTGATAACAGCACTAACGATCACTGGAGTGATAGTTCTCCTTTCTTCGGCCACATGCGTAATTGTTGCCATCTGTCTGTATAAGAAAGACCAGAGAGACTGATGGCATACTTGAAACACTAGCTATGTATATTATACCAGTCTATAGCAATAGCTCAATGCATTTTGAGTTTACTCATGCATGGTCGTGATTGATATATAATGTTGTAGCAGTTTTTATTTGGACACCCTTGCTCCGTGATTGTTTCATACTCAACATGCATAATTTTCATGCGTTTGCTGCTCGCTCCCGCTCGCCTACTAGTTATGTTAGGGTCCTGCACTTTATCATGCACAATTTACGCTTTTGATGGTGGCACATTGCCTGACGGTAATACCTGAAGACACAATGATCTTAATTGCTAGGTTGTGACTTACAGTTTAAGAATTTCAATACAATTAGCATGCTTGCTTGCTTGCACACTGGAAGGGAGATGACATAATATTTGTTGTTACCACGACGTTTGGATGCCAACACAGTAACGGTAAATCTGCATCGCTTCCAGATTACTATCACATTTTAAGTACACTTTTGCATAAATTGTTTGCACTAAGGATTTTGCGTGTATTAACTATCGTACAGTTCTTTTATGCTACCAGCAAGTTCGACATTGCCAATGGACTCAAGGCAATCAACAAGCACTGACCAGGTCACATCTCTCCCCTTTCCTTGAATCCACAACATAAATATTTCCCTGACAATGTTCTCTGGTGTCTTTAGATGCTTATGCTCTATTGACATGATAAGTTCTCCTGTCTCATCCTTGAGCAATTGAACACCAAACTTAAAATATTTAGCTCCAATTATTTCCGTGAGATCTACTTTCTTGTCAGATGACAGGGGTAGACATAAAAGAAGGGGAAGTGTTGGTGGTTTCGAATTTAGCTGACTGGTGGCAGCATTTGTTGGTAGCAATGCTGCAGGATTCACACGAATGTCGAAAGAATGGATTACGTTATCTTTGCTAACATCGAATATTTCAATTTTTTCAGCGAACAAGAGTGGCGTAAATTCTGGCCTAAGGCAAGTTAGAGTTATGCGGCATTGCATGGGAGAATCTTTTCGTGGGTCTACCTTGTCAGTTTGAACTTTGCTAAACATATTATCTGACAGCGAGATGTTCCAGCATTCATCACGACTATTACAACGGATTCCTATCTCCTTTTGATCGAAGTAAAACTCAGGGGATGTTATGACCTTAAAAAGAGAACCATATACTTTATTAATCATTTCACGATATATGGTAAGACTTGGTATAACTGCCGCAATCAATTCATATTTCAGGGTGTTAGCTTTGGAACAAAATATATGGCACTCGTACGGTATAAGCTGAGGAACAACAAGACAAGACTGAATTTCAGCAAGTCTAAGGTCTTCATACTTAACCATTCCATAACCAGAATTCTCTCTCTCGGCCCATTCCGAAGCAACTCTCCGGTAGGTCGCGTGGTCTTCAAAAAACTGATCACCTGCTTCTTTATTTACCCATTTGAAACGTTCACGAGGGAAATCACCTGGATGTCGCAACAGCTCTGCAATCGACAACCCAATTACATTTAAATTAAAGGCTGGTTCCCAACCATCTTTGGTAAGCTCTGGTAGGCATATGTCTCCTCTATGAGGACAAATTTTCGGGTGCCACACCTTATTTTTAATTGAAACGCAGGTGGTTCAAAAGGGTATTTGGTAGGGATAAAAATGTTGAGAGTGAAAACGTAATTACCAGTAGGAGCTTCACTAGGAGAGATAATGATACCTCGTAGATTTAAAACATGTTCCCCTATCGCCACGGTAAACAATTGCTCTTTCCATTTTCCATCACAAACCTCCCTTATATCCCTCACAATTCTTCGATAGGCTGCGGAACCTTTGAATTCCATTAGATACACGTCGACAGAGTTCTCGAAGGCTAGTCTCGCTAGCTCTCTCCTTGCGTGAGGATCTGGCTGGAGGCTATGACAAAATAAGGGGTGTGTCGATCATTTGAAGGAAGTGGGCGTGGCACTCGAATGCCTCGTTGCGTATGCAACTTTCTTTGGTTGATCCACAAAACATTTCGGGCCTAAGACCTCGGTGCGTTGAGTGGCGCTCGTATGGAACGCCAAACGTACTAGTCGACCTAATTCAAAACCAGAGAAGCGAAAACTGCGATGTATTATGAATAAATACATCTGTGTATTCAACGGTTGAATAGCAAAAGAATATTGTAGTGTGGTGGTTTATAGTGGAAGCAGCCTGTATAGCCAATTATACTCCTGGTGACAATGTCATTCACACGCGCATGCACTATAAAGCAAGCAGCAAGGACAGTTTTTGTAAAACTTAGAGGCTACAGTCATTTGTGTTGGCTGTTCAATCCTTTTGCATCTGTTTCCTCCTCCAGAAGTAGAAGACAACCAGAAAAACAACAATGAAAACCACCAACAGTACAGCTCCCACAGTTACCATAGTGGCTACTACCACCACTAGCCAATCTTGTGGCTGGTCTATGAAGAGATAAGAAGGAATGAGTACATACAATAAGAAGCCAATCCCGCAGGATATTTACCCTTCTCTGTGTGGTCGCCCCTTAGAGTCTCCATTACAAACTGATTTCTCTCTTGAACTCCTTCCAGAGACAAATAGAAGGTTACATTGGTATTACCTGAGGACCCTCCATCAACACTACTGGTCTGGCCTCCAGGATGCTGTGTGGGGGACTGCTGTTCAGTTGATACTGGGCGAATGTAAGCAGCATTGCAGGCATCTGTCCCAGTAACTGTTTGAGTGTAGTCATTCAGTGCTCCATTAGGGTTAGGGACTGCCTGCGATGCATAGTAGACAATGGAACCGTTTACACACAGTTTGACAGTGACACCGTCTTGGGGCACTTTCAGCTCATATCGAACTCTTCCCTTCTTCGATAGCGTCCCATTCAGGACACCAAACTCAACTGGTATAGCAGCTGCAGTAATGAGTATAAGAGCTGTACTACCTTGTGTATTTTATCTACCTTTTTGCCTGTTGCTATCCATTTCTTGTCCTCATTTACAATCATAACAACAAAAGGAATCGAAAATATACTTTCTATTTGCTTTAAGCTTCTTGACAGTTAGTCATCAAAAGTTTTTAAGAAAACTTATTCTTACTGACTTACTCTTTTCACATAATTCGTATGTTTGTTCGTCACGAGTTTCCCTGAAGACAGCCTCACCAAAACTTGCCAAATATGTGACATATTCTCTTTTACTTGCAATAGCCTCAAGCTCTTGTGTGTTCACATTGAATGTTACTCCAATAGCAAAGGTGACGATTGGGTGAGAAAATTGTGAACCATTTGAGCGACTCCAAGCGTGGATCTGAATCCACAGGCGCTAGACTGCCCACCTGAGTGTCCGTCAGTCATAACTATAGCCAGGCGAAACACGTTACTTTCAGACAGTCGTGCCCCGTGCTCTTCACTAAAACCCCGCAGCATTAGGCAAAGTCCATCAGCTGTGTTTGTATTTCTTCCAGAGTAGTAAATTCCATCAATAGCTTCAAGAATGTCACTTTTTCGTGAGTAAGTGTTTAAGTAAAACACCGTCTGTCCATTATCGCTGTAAATTACAACTCCTACCTGGTTCTCTGTTGGGCCAATTTCAAGTTCATTGACAAAATCGTGTGCAAAACGCTTAACCTCTTCATAATTGCTTCTGCCTATACTTCCAGAGGAATCGAGGACAAATATAACGTCCGATTTTATGTTGCAACCTACAAAGAATGATAATAGTACCTATTATTAGCTATGACACTAACAATTGTACCTTCGTCCATTTTCAACTGTTGAACATCAGCAATAAACTTATTGGCGTTGCCTTCCGTGCCATAATACTTGCTCCAGAAGGTAGCTTGACGGCTGACGTCGCTCGATGTGGGCAGTCGTTCTCTCGTCCTTCAATGACAAACAGCGTCAATCGAGCAGCCAGAGCTGACCAGAGCGGCTTCCTTAGGTCCTCCCACTGCAGCGACTCGTAGCTGTTAACATCGGACTGAGCGAGCTCGGTGGAAAATGCGACGTTTATCTGAAGCCTCAGCTGTGATAGAAGAGAGTTTTGTTGCGTTTCTTCGAAAGCTTCCTGCGAGGCGTTCCATATTCCGCCGTTGGGTGGTGAAGCGGCTCCATCTCTCGTCTCAGACGTACGCGATCCTCCGCAGTAGTCGCTTGTCGGAATTGAAAACTCTGCTACTTTCAATCTTGGCAATGGTGGCTAGTACGACATCGGCACCACTCGCTCCTTGCTCAACGGTGCGATCCACGCTCAGTGCAGTGCAGACGTTGCTGCGAACAGAAACTACCGACGGCAGGAAACTTTTCATTGTGAACTCCAGTGTCCGAAACTTTCCGATGTTGCTCTTATAACGCATCCGCGCGCTGCCGGATGCCACAGGTGCATAGCGCGCATGCGCGGTGGCGTGTGAGGTGACCTTTGACCTGACGGAGGATTATGGCGACGCCTTTGAAGCCGTGGGAGCTGCGAGGAAGGGGAGGAGGGTCCGGAGAGTGTAGGTAGGAGGGACGGTCAGACCACACCTCGTCCAAGGTCAGGTGGTCCATCCCCACCACCTGTCGTTCCTCCCAGACCCACCAATACCGTAGGTAGGTGCAAACAGGGCATGAAACACCTCCCACAATTTAATTGGGCATGTACAAGGGATGTGTTGGGATTTGAAGTTCATTGAATCTGTAACTGTATGTGCACAGCTTGAAATAAAGTATTTTGAAAAGGTCACATGTGAACCCTTTGGGCTTAGAGGTAGGCTTGTTAGTTGTTGGTGCGTTTTGAATGCTTAGCTAAGCGTTCTAGCCGCTGTGTTTTGAGAGATTTTGTGTGCATTTCACGTGAGTGTTTTCTAAATTAAGTCAGACCAAACTAATCAGTCTTCTCCAACACTGTCTCCTCCAACACTACCGAGCTGTGTAGCTATATGATAGTTAGTTGCTCAGTTTCTTGTCTCTCGCCACATGCTGCTGCAATTAGAATGCTCTGTGAACCGACGTAGTTACACTGTAACGGATATAGGCAGACTCTTCAAGTTACACCCTCAGAATGGTGTGGTTTCATCTCCTGTACAGAACTGAATTCATACTTTGCCATAACCATGAACTACGTACCTCAGCTGCCTAACGCCAGCAGGCAGGCAGGCCAGGAACAGGACGTGGAGAAGGTGTCCTAAGCAGTCATAAATAGACACTGCTTGGCCTAGGAATACCTGGAAATTAGATAAGGTCTACTACTGGTCAGGAATTGATCATTAGAAGACTGCACATGCACATTTTTGCAAGCACACTGCTGTACATTTGTTAATCTGCTTGTGTGTGCCTCCTAAAGAGGCGCAGCAACATTTCACATGTGGAATCACAATAATGTGGAGATTTTGAATTGCTACCAGAAATTTACATTGGCAGGGAACTTAGAAGTACATTCCAGGTGATACTTTTGTCGTGGGAAAAGGTTTTCCCCACAAATTTCGATTTTCCAATCCAAACGTGTTTTTTTAATACATAGCTACTGTTGATTCTTGTTTAAACGTTGTAAGTTGTTTCACTGCTAGAAAACTGATAGGGTAATGCTGCTACATGTGTTATACAACTGGACCCTGTTTTAGCTTCCCTGGCCGCCTTATTTCTGCACCCTGTATGTAGAAGCACGTCGTAGTGCACGTACGTACTTGGCAGAATATAATCTATGCAAAAAAAGATGCTATGCTTTGCACTTCTAATGTAGCCCATTTGCTCCTTAGCACTAGCATGCTAGAATTATTGACACCTTGTGAATACGTTGTACTGGTGATGTAATGTGCTATTTATATCAACAAGGTAAACACATTACGACGTATTTGCCAAAAATAGCACTTTGCAGATTACGTGACGGTGGTGAATTCCCTCCGTATAAAACCCCTCAGCCTCAGCGCGAAGAAGAAAGGCAGGTTTATACATGCGCCGGAGGAGATAGCGGGACGTGTGTCGTTCGCCATTTCTAGGGCGACATTTTAGGGTGCGTTTCAATTAGAATCGTCAGTCATGACGGACCGTGGTGTACTCCTGAAGCACTACTACCAGCTGAGCAAGAACATTGACAGTATCTCTGGCGGCCAGGCGCGCCTCGGGGAAGGCACGGACGACCAGGAAGATGAACTCATTACCGTAAACGTCAGCATAGCCCCAACCTCGGGCCCTTACCGTGGCGGGCAATTCGACTTCACGCTGGACATGAGCGAGGGCTACCCGTCCTGCCCGCCAATTGTCCGGGCGCTGACCCAGATGTACCATCCCAACGTGGAGCTAGCAGGCGCCGAGGACGAAGAGGACGGCTCCGTGTGTCTGAATCTCCTGGACGAGCTGTGGACGCCCACCATGACCCTAGAGGACGTGGTTCAGGGCCTCCTGTTTCTGCTCCACAATCCGAACGTGGAGGACCCGCTTAGCTCCCTATTCTGCGGGTCAGAGGACGAAGAGGAGTTCCGTCGCCACGTTCGTCTCTCGCTCCGTGGCGGGAACGTAGCTGGGGTAGATTTCAAGAGGAACCTGCTGGACGGATATGAGTCTGAGTGCGAGGAAGACGATGATAAGGAGGGTGCCCCTGGTAATCAGAGCAATCTCGAGTCCACAGTTGCTACCCTGTTGGAGGAGCTTGTCCAGACAGAAGACATGGATGTAACGATGGCAATCTCTGCTGCAAGTGCAGAGAATCAGAAGAATTTTATATCCACTGTCGGTGTCATAGCGGAAACTGACGAAACTCCAGAGAACGATGCCTCGACTGAAGAAGAAACCCCAGAATGTGTTACCCCTCTCTCTCCCTCCCTCTTCTCTCCTTCGACTCAGCTAGCAGGCTCTCGTGAAACCAATACCGACAAGCAGTTCACACTATTTTCCCAGCTAAGAGCCCCTCTGTGGTCGTTTGACAAGATGTGGACCCTGTCCCTCAGCTCCATCGTGAGACCTATAGTCCTGGGGGCCCAGAGGGTGAGTCGGCCACCGGCTCGACTGGACTCCTCCGAGATAGACGTTCACTGAACTTCAACTATCATCACAATGTGCTCTGTGTTTATATGCGATGTGTCTTGTGTTGATTATATGTTCAATTCATGTATCAAACCACTTTCATTATATTATCTCAAATATGCGTATTATAGCAAAATGTTATCCAGAACACTGTGGATATGTGAAAAGAGAATTTCATTGGCATATATACTACTGAAGGAAGTGACCACACTTAACCCTTTCCACACCACTTGTATACAAACAGAAACCATGTACAAAATATCTCCATATAAAATCTTGCTGCTTATGGACATAATGTGTCTGTGGCTAGTAAGTGTTAATCTACGATAGAGTGCAGTACATGAACATGTGCATCGTGCATTCTAGTGTGCAACGACTGACCTGTGGTGTCTTGTACTGTTCAGGTGGCCAACAGCAGAGAAGTTACTATACTCCTTCATACCAAGGTGAACAGCCAATAGCTACAGTACGTAGGTTGTGGTACTATCGGTTTGGTTTGCCAACTGCACAATCTTTTCTTGATCGTGTTTTTGTTGTGTGATCGAAGTGTGCATTCCTGCTCTGGTTAGCTCAGCGGGCAAGAGTTCTCTACCTATAGACTGCAGAGTTGTGGGTTCGAGTCCCACCTAGGGTAGCTTTTTTCTCCTTGCAGAAAAAGAGTTGTCCTGGGTGTGGTTGACTTGTTTGCTTTGCCTTTGCCTCGCGGCCGCCTTGTTGATGTTTACCTCTGCCTAATATGTAGTACTGTATAATTATAATAGATATGGGGTGACAAGTGTATTGGTGTGTATCATTAAATGTGTTATACAGTTCACTACGCATTGTTTCCAGGGTATGGAGGTGGGTTTGGGTATCGTCCAATGGGAGGAATGTACGGAGGCTACGGGGGATACTCGGGGTGTGGGGGATACGGGGTGGGGTACTCCGGGTATGGTGGAGGATTCGGGGGAAGTAACTTGGACGACATGTCGATGGTGAGACAGGCGGAGGAGAGAACCAGATCTACCTTCCAGTCCGTGGAGAGTGTCGTCGGGGCCTTTGCTTCAGTGAGACATCTCAATATTTTAGTGTGTACACAACATGAGCCTTTCTAGCAGGGAACTATTGGCAAGCGAAGCGAACCTGTACCTAGTCGTTTGAATACGGGAATTTTCTATGTTTGTTTGTTTGTTTGTTTGTTTATAACTGTCCGTCGGGCGCTGTACATACCGTAATGTTCTACGTGATTCTTAATACATTGAACTGCTCGCACTCTCTTGCCAAACAATGCATTACATTCCTCAAGATATTTGCAGTGAGAGAGCCATGAAGGAGGCATAGCAGTGTTTGTGCCAACTTTCTCCTCATTAATGTGTCCCTCCATAAACTATAATAATGCATGAGACTTTAACAATATTTTGTTGTGTGCAGTATTCCTTAGAGCTGAATGTGTGTCCATCATTTTTAACCAGGTTACTATGATGCTGGAATCGACGTATTTTGCCGTGCAGAGTTGCTTCAGGTACAATTTATAGTACAGAAGGGGAGAAAACCAACATTCGTTTTCACTTTCCAAACCATTATACTACACGCCTTCTCAAATTGTCAATAATTGTTAATGCACTGCAGGGCTCTATTGGGAGTGGCTCAGCACTTCACTCGACTCAGGTATATAAGCAGGTCCATACATATAGCAACAGTCAGTATGGGGTGTAGCAAAGGTGGGCACTAGACCCACTATAAATGTACCCATTAAGTTTTTCAGGGCCACTGACTATTATAGCTTGTTGGAGAAACTGACCGGCACAATATACACATAGCCACACCACATAAACAAACAGTACTTTAGCAACACCCAGAGCTTCAGAGCCACAATTGGCTCCGGAACTCCAACCACTGTGCATATAGGTGGGTTCTTTCTTCATGTAACAGGTATGAGGATTATGTCATTCTTAGAGAAATTTTCACTTGAAAAAAAATAATAAAATGAAATGAAGAGAATCAAACCCTAGACCTATATAGCCCCTGCCCTATTCCTTAGGTGGTCCTAGCTACATAGGGTATAGTTCAAACTTTTCAAACCAATCGAGTTTGCATGTGGGTATCAGTGCTGCTGGTCTGATAGGAACTACATGTGGGGCCTCCTGGGAGCTCTGGCTATTCTACGAAGGCTCCGCTACTGGCTCAAGAGACTGCTGCGATGGCTACACCTACGACATCCTGCTCAGTCGGTAGGCAGTTTTTTACACAGGGCAACTTGTTGCTAGAAACATGTTGCAACAACAAAGTTTCCTAGCAAGTTGCTTAGTTTTTGTCTCTTGTAACATGTTGCTGCTATTAGGCGGCTATTATTTATGGGCAACTCGTTGCTAGAACATGTTCCAAGCAACAGTTGCCCAGTGTCTGATGACAAGTTGCTCAGTTTTTGTCTCTTGTAACATGTTGCTGCAATAGACCAGTTTCACGAACGGCAAAAGGAATGCTAAATTGAACGTGACGTCACATCCGGAGTCCCGTTCTGGCTAGCTAGCTCCAGCTAGCAATGTGTCCGTACTTAGAGCGGCGTAGCGCGTAGCTCTTACGGTATGCTCTATTTATAAGTTACTTTTGCGATATTACAGTAACTGTAGTATGCGTGAGAAAAAGAACGGACGCTCTAGCTTGTTCCTGCGCGGAGATTTGGGCTGAGAAAGGATAGTTGTTAGCATCATGACTGGAAATCGATGTGTTCTGTGTGGCTCTACACGTGCAACAGACCCTGGAGCCTCTCTTAACCGTTCCCCGGCTGAAAAACGGCGAGAGCGAGGTGGATTGCAAATCTAAAGCTAGGTGCTGACGCCGTATTCTCGGCTGTATAGCCGACGCTTTCCTGGTGGAGACCCGAGCAAGGAGCCTCAGCTTAACCTGGGAAAAGAGGCTCCAGGGTCTGTTGCACGTGTAGAGTACATCCCGTAAGAGCTTCGTGCTGCGCCGCTCTAAGTATTATACGGACGGTTCCAGTTTCTCCGTAGAACAGAACGGGACTCCGGATGTGACGTCACGTTCAATTATCTCGCCCACTTTATGTGCCATGCATACTTTTGCATTCGTGAAACTGGTCTATAGAAAGTATTTCTGGCATCTCGTTGCTGAAAGTTGTCTGATGTGTGATGCGGCTTTTAACATAGGTTTATGGTGTGTTGTTGTGTGTAGAAAAACATTGGTTCTTCATTACAGGAGGATTTGTGGGAAGAGGCTTCATTGGAAAGTGTGAGCTCTTCTTCTGGGACACCTGGCATCTGGTATCTATATCAATGTGATGCATAATTTACATACAAACTAATTGACGAGTGAGAACAAGAAAACCAAACGGTGGATATTCCAATCCACATTGCCACCCATACCACGAGGTGTCTACCAATATGTAATATCCAACGTGCAGGTTGTGGCCACTGGTCAAGTTTCTGTCGGTGGTGTTTGGTGTCCCGTGGCTACTCTGGAGATTCATCTCTTTTCTCTGTACGTTTGACCGTGTTTTTGCTCATTGCTACAGTTTAGCCTCTGTATGTTTGACCGTGTTTTTGCTCATTGCTACGGTTTCAAGCCTCTGTATGTTTGACCGTGTTTTTGCTCATTGCTACAGTTTCAAGCCTCTGTATGTTTGACCGTGTTTTTGCTCATTGCTACAGTTTCAAGCCTCTGTATGTTTGACCGTGTTTTTGCTCATTGCTACAGTTTCAAGCCTCTGTATGTTTGACCGTGTTTTTGCTCATTGCTACAGTTTAGCCTCTGTATGTTTGACCGTGTTTTTGCTCATTGCTACAGTTTGGCCTCTGTATGTTTGACCGTGTTTTTGCTCATTGCTACAGTTTCAAGCCTCTGTATGTTTGACCGTGTTTTTGCTCATTGCTACAGTTTCAAGCCTCTGTATGTTTGACCGTGTTTTTGCTCATTGCTACAGTTTCAAGCCTCTGTATGTTTGACCGTGTTTTTGCTCATTGCTACAGTTTGGCCTCTGTATGTTTGACCACACTGCAGTGTACCACTAGTATGTATGTCCTTTACATCCAGTAGCTTCTGTGCCGTGTGTGTGTGTGTAATCAGGTACAGTATAACCTCATCCGAATAAAGGTTAACTTGGTTCTTACTAAAGCAAAAAAACCTCTTAGAATAAAGAAAACCCAAAAGTGTCCATTTGCGACTGACATTTTAATTTTTTGTTTTGTCTAGTGAGATGTGGTGAGCACTCTGGTGGACCCAGTAACTGGTAAGAAGTTATCCTATTGAATGTCCCCATAAAGTAGCTGCACCTGTTTTTTGATGCAGGTCTAGTGGCGAGGGGCAGACCCTGGTCGCTAGAGCTCTTCATGACTTCTCGGCAGCCAATCCTGATGAACTCTCTGTGGCTGCTGGAGACGAACTAGTGAGCCACACAGTCTATTACGGTACTTTTCCAGACTAAAGGTCCCACTAGCGATTCACGCTTACTTTCATGGATGTGCTAATGCTTCCACTACTGTAATGTACCTACATAATATTATTATAATATAGAGAAAAAGATCTCGGGTTTATAGTCCAACAATAAACAATTGTCCCTGTCTACTAATTTTCATGGAGGAACCTTCCATTGACACTAATGAGCAGCTAAATTCGAGAAAGATTCTCCTTTAAAATATTCAAGTTGCATGTCCAGCTAATTTATTTTAAATACAGCAGCAGCAATAAAATTATAATATTTGGTCCTGACTATTGTATTTTTATGCTTGTACTATTAGGTGCTTGCCCCTAGACAGTTACAGACTGGATGGTTACTAGTTGGGAAAAATCGCACCAGTGGGTAAGTATGTCAAAATTGCATAAGTAAAGAGAGGGGCAGTATTATACCATTGTTCTTGACACGAGGAGTGAGAGTATACTGTAAAAATAGCAGTGGTTTGAGGTCTTGTGTTGTATTTTGTGAGATTTGAACCACTAACCAGCTGATATGCCCTGGTAGCTCAGTTGGTATATAGAGTGCTTGCCTATGATGTGAGTTCGAATCTCACCCAGGGTAGCTTTTGGTCCAGGGTGTAATTGCTTTGTATTTGTGTGGCTAGTGGTGACCTTGTTATTAACCCACAGTTTGGTGCCGGCCAACTATGTGCAGATAGTCCAGCAGCAGCCTGGGGCCCGCGAAGGAGTGGGAGGTGGTGGGAGTAGGGAGGAGGGTAGCAGTGGAAACCTCCCTCCCTCCCTTCCCTCTCTCTCCGTCACACCCACCAACAGACACAGAGACACTGAGGAAGAATCTCTTTTGACTGATTAGGAATTTTGTGCTGTAAACAATGTAATTGGCGAGCAAAGCAAAAGTACGTCCGCGCTGAGAATGCACCTTGAAAATCTAGAATAACTTCCGATTCCAGCATTGTATGCGGCCACGCTTGGTATCACTTCACACTTCAGTTTGTTCAGCACTTACCCCGTTCAAATCCGCTGCATAGTTTTTTCGCTACGCACATTATGCATAATCCCATACATTTCTACACATACTTACATACGGCGAGAATATACCGCCCTCCTCTTATCTACTTCAGCATGCATTCTCAGCGTGAATGTACTTTAGCTACCCTTGTTGTCTAAACACGTGATTTTGCATTATGTCCCTCTGTAACGCCACTCACCGTAATATTTACGTGATTGTAAAATAGCTACGTGCGAAAATGCAGGAAACAAATTTTTTGGGCTTTTCACTTGTATTTAGAATCACGTCAAACTCGCAATCATTTGTGAACCATTTTGCAAAGGTGAAAATCGCAAGCATAAAAGTAAGTCTATCAAAGTGTATAGTGAGTGCACATGTAATGCTATTTGTCACAGCAAGACTTGTTCTTAGTTGGCCCTCCCTCCCCCACTCTAATTGCTCTGTCCATCCCTCCTGCCCCCTTACCCCTCCCCCCACCACCACTCCTCCGCCGCTCCATCTCCTCCAGCAATGTGCCCTGAATGAACTCAAACACCTCGGCCACGCCCTCCCCCGTCTTGGCACTTGTCTCGTAGTACAACTTCTCGGTGGGCACTGATTGGAGGTAGGAGTTGGCGTCCCTCATGAGGGCCCTCTCCACCTGTTTTCTGTGCTCGTCTTCGGCCAATGCCCTTCCAACACTGGTCTTCACCTGCATTCAGAGAATCACATTAAAAACACAATAACGACACTTTAAAAGTGTCATATTCAGAGGTAAAATGCAGGTGCAGGTAAAATACACTAGATGCAATAATTATGGGGCAGAAACAAAGTGTGCCTCAGGGTGATGTCAGCTATTCCTGAAGGGTCCTTTTTTGGAGGACAGGATGAGGGACCCTCTGACATAAGGACGACTACTCTGCGTTTTATCTCCATGAACTTAAACACCTCGGCCACGGACGCCAACTCCTATATACCTCCAATACTCTGAGATAGGGACGACCTCTCTACAAGGAACAAAATCATTGGTCCCATCCCTTGTTAGGAGGTTCCACTGTAGTACACTATTATCCAGTACAGCTTGTGCAAGTGTAAGAAGTTTTTACAACATATAATTATAATAATCTTGGGAAAACTAGCCAGTCATCCCGGTACCCGTTCGTACGGGAAACGGTGCCCTTTGTAGTTCTATATAGCTTCTGTGTCAAAGTGTATCTCAACATTTACAAATTGTACCAATCCATCTCCCAATGTACAGTAATTGACAGACTCTGAGCTATTATTAACCCTCGGCGCGCATGCGCAGCGAGGGTTACAGTAGTTGGGTCTGTCTGTGTGTCTGTTACTCTTCATCTTCTTTCGTCTCACAAAGGATACCACCTACCGAACGGGCAATGAAGGTCAGAAATTTCAAACGGTTTTCTCTGAAAACGCTCCGTTGCAAAGCTAGAGCGCTTCCACCATTGCGTAGTCGGCCGCTGCGGAACCGGAAAATGCGCATGCGCTTGTATTTAGCACAGGACCGGGTCTGCTTGCTCTGTGTATTTTGAAGGCACAAGAAGTCACAACGAAGGGAGTGTATCGACTCTCGCATGCTAATCTACTACTGTAGCTAGCCCGTGTCAGACTCTCTGCGAGCTATATACTAGCGGGAGACCGCGAGTAACGCATACTAATATACCGCACATGCGCAGTTCGCCGAGGGTTTGCACTTCAGTGATTTCATTATTTTGGTAAACTGAAAGGCCCACAGTATCGTAGTCCGGGTCACACAGGAGATTTAAACTTTCAGAGTTTTTTTGTTCCCACGCAATACAAATATCCCACTCACAAGCTTTTGCACAGAAAATAATTATTGTGGATCATGATTGGGAGCTTTCTCATTGTACGTGATATGTCAGACCTCTCTATCTGTCCCAGAGGCGAGGTCCAGCTTGGTGCCCACCACGACAGTGAGACAGCTATCCACCGAGTCGTGCAGGAGAGGGATGAACACCTCCCTCAGTCTGGTGACAGAGGCCGCCTCTGTCAGGTCAACCACCAGTATGGCCACCGCTGCTCCGCGGCAGTAGAACGAGGAGAGAGAGGCATAGCGCTCCTCCCCAGCCGTGTCCTAGGGTGTATATAAATCATGCCAGTTAGGTTTCAACTTAGAACGATAATCACTGAAGTGTAAACCCTCGGCGCAGTGATAATAGTGATAATAGTGAACACATGCGCACAATTATGTAAAGTAATGGGTGGGGCAATGGTAGCTATCACCAGGTCTGGTAGAATTGTTGGTGCTGTATTAAGGTTCATTATTCTTTCCTCCCAAGCTAACCTAAGTGAGCTACAATTCAAACGCCTTAGTTGGAGGCATACTTACTGAACTCAACCGTCTAGTCTCACAGAGAAATGAGGGAAAACAAAATGGCTGCCGGCTACGTGGTCCCAATCAGCGTGCGCCGCTTTGGCCGCCTGCCGCCTCGGAGTCGCATGCATTTTGGTGTATACACACATGCGCGTTGTTAAAATGGCCGCCCTTGCCGTACCGTACGAACAGGAAAACGCTCTAGCTCTGCAACGAAGCAGTTTCAGAGAAAATCCCACATATTTTCTGACCTCCGTCGGCCGCTAGGGTATGTAAACCCGTTTTGGACGCGATCTATGACTGGAGAAGTGAGTTCTCACTTAACTGACAGAATGAATGACACACACGACAACTACAGTAACCCTCGCTGCGCATGCGTGCTGAGGGTTAATAATATATATATACGACGCAGTTTGTTGGTGATATGGGTATGCTCGCCCCAAGTACGAGTGAAGGCATATATCTATTGATTCGCAACGTGTTGCATTGCATGGCTTATTGTATATAATGTATATACACCCAATATGTAAATTGAATTTGCAAGAAATGCAAAAAGTTGCATCATGGCCTTAAAGTGCACTGCAATCTAGAGCACTTTAAAACAAAATTACCAGTGAACGCCAATGTGAATACTAAGTTTTAATTTATCACTGTGATTGTACATGATGGCATTCTTTTAAGTGAGATAGTCTCTAATGTATGGGCATGCTCGCGCAAGCACACAGTCGAAGGCATTTCTATTGTGTGCGACATTTTGCATGGCCTGACATACTGTAAACCCAGTAATGTTGGCACCCAAAATAATTAGCGTTTTTGATAGAACTCACATCTTATTAGCGGCTTATAAATTTAGCGAAATTTTTATAGCCAGTTACAACACAGCATTTACAAACGATTGGCATCCTATTATTTTAGCGTTTAGGATGGGAAACGCTAATTTCGCCACATTTTATGGCGCGCTAAAATTTCTGGGTTTATCTGTGCACATTGAACCACTTCAGCTCATGCAAAAATTGCCATTGTGTATATGCCATGGGCTTAAAGTGCAGTGTCAACAGACTGCAACCTTGAGTAAACTTAGAGTTCGGACAAACAAAACTATTACCATGTAGTTAAATGGCAACAACAAGGAAACTGAATGGGGAATTTACATACAAAACAGGAAACACAATGTTTTTCTGTGGCTTCAAATGTACACGCGTGTGTGTGTGTGTGTATGAAGTGTGCCATGCATAAGCTTGCGCCAAGACGTGAATATATACACGGTTTGTTTAACGAGACAATGTATGGGTCTGATGGTCCACCCTGTACACATGTTGAATGATAATAGATGTGTGGTCTATTGCATACATGGACACGTCATCACTGAGCAACAGTAGATGTGTGGTCTATTGACACATCATCATTGAGCAACAGAGTTACACACTTTTAATACTACATACAAAGAGCTCACCCAAAGAGCTACGTTCCAATCTCCCCATCTCTTCAGAGCTAGTGAGGCTCCAATACTCTGCATGGACACACATGTATATACATTATAGTCACACGCCGCCAACCACACACTGCTTCAATGTGAAGAGCGATTTGCGGTGGTCATTTATCCTCACTGGGTGCCACCAGCACATAAATTGTGTGAAATGGTAGGGGTGGCTCTCTTATCTAGACTGTGTTCTCGCAAATACGCAGAACCCTGATTAACATGTATGCACCTTAACCTGCAGTATTACTACATTACTGTGCCCAAATTGAGTGAATTACACACACATGTGACAGGTGTAATAATTACGTATTGTTCACTGCTTATAAGTTGCATATCCATACACTCAAGCTACATCCAAGTGGACATTATTATTGCACATTATTTTGCCACTAACAGAAATGGTATCGGCAAACTCCCCGGTGAGGTAGCGCTGTAGGAGACACGTCTTCCCCACACTGGCTGCCCCTAGAACTATCACCTTCAGATCACTGTGTGTGTGTGTGTGTGTGTGTGTGTTTTGAGATAATTATGCAACAGGGACCCTAGGGACTTACCCTGCTCAAGGTCTCTTACATACACATCTCAAGAGAGACTACGTAGATAGTCAGAGGACTTCAAACCCTATTACTCTTTTCCATGCATAGCTAGCTATGTGTCTTAGGCATCCAAGAAAGTAGCTAGCTAAATAAAAACTGATCTACACCGATGCGGCTTACGTTTTTGACTTGGCCTCTGATGCGGCCATGTCGTGTGTAGTCAACAGATCAGCCTCGACACAAAAGCTAACACGTACAAAACACGGTCGGCTTGATTACGGATGAGGACGTGCAATGCAGTCAGTATAGAGGGCAAAGGTCAAAACAAGGTTTAACCCTTTCCTTGCTGAATACTTGGCTAGCGGTCGGTTTCGAAGAAAAAGCGGTAGGTGCTCTGGTGCTGCGCTAGGATTACTAGCTACCCATATAACCCGTCCTTCCCTCTTGTCTTGTAACAGAGATGGACCCTTCCAGCAACCAGCAGGCGGCCCCGGCAATCAAACACATGATGACCGTCCCCGAGAAGATTGAACTCACGTCCACCGGGGCGTACCCCTCGCCTCCTCGCGCGGCCGGTGGCCAGAGAGCCGGAGACTTCCGAGCCATGCGGATCCCCGACAAGATCATGTTGGAGACTGCAGGGAGGGGAGATGAGGGGGAGGGAGGGGGCGTGTCTGGTGCCTACTTCCAGCAGCCACGGTGAGTGACTACTCACTTTCCCCCAAAGGGACTTTGTGTATTACAGCACTCTATATGTATACAATGCTCTCCTACTGCTAAGTTGGTAGTCTTTTTAGATTGATGCTCCTTCGCTCTTCAGTTATCAATTGTAGAGTTAATTTTTTTAGTGTGGAATTGTCCTAATAGTGCACAGATAACCTGACTACAGTAGAACTTCTGATAAAGGACACTTCGAATAAAAGACAACCTCTCGAATAATATACACACTTTGATGTCCCAAAAATTTACTTTCCATTTTTCTAGTACGACCTAACAAGAGAAGTCAGCCTTCCTATAAAAGACAAACTGCCTTGTCCCAACATGCCAATGATTATTCGGAGGTTCCCCTGTATTTCTCCTTCATTTTTGTCGTCCAGCGAGCCACCACTGGAGGTTCCTACCCCGAGACCTGAACCATTTGCCACCAGTACAGTGAGCGTGGCTGAGCTGCAGGGTCTGGAGCGGAGACTGGGAAGTCTGGAGAGCCAGGTGAAGGGACTCCGGCGAGCAGTGCTGCAGCAGGCAGGGGGAGGGGGAGGGGGAGGGAGGAGGAGTGAGGGGTCGAGGGTATGGTATGCGCTCACTTTTGCCGGCTGGCTTATGGTACCTCTTGTCGTTGTGTTCATGTTCCACTATCGCAAGACAGCTTAGTGCAGTCGTGTGCTCACTTCCACCATCCTCTGTGATTCATTTGTATCACCACATTGTGTTAGTATAATTGTATATACACTGTCGTTAAGTGAAGATAGTAACTATGCCAGTAAAATACATTATTGAAAATGTTTATAATTATGATGTGTAGAAAACACCAGCATCTTGTAAGTTCACGGCAATCCGCCTCCAGTTCATCCACTCAGTATGATGCTGTGAAATTAATTGAGGCCCCTATAATTACACTAACTAATAGGTGTCGATAGAATAATCATACCATCGGCATCGGTCTATCTCAAGGTCACAGCTGGCGTCACACAACGGTCTGGTTTTCACTCGACACGTGCAACCGTCTGAATTCAGCTCAGTCAGTAGTCCACTAGTATATACTACATTGAGGGGAAGTCGTCGTGTAGCTCTGACTTGTACTGACACAGGTACATGAGGTCCCTTCGGGTCGCTGTTGACCTGTAGAACCCAGCTGGACACGTGGACTGTGTGATTGAGACGCAGTAGCAATCGGCTTGGCTGAATCTCGCTCCCGGGAGGCACCTGGGGGGACCTGCAGTTACCTTTATGTGTGTGTGTGTGCGCGTGTGTGTGTGCGTGCGTGTGTGAGGAGGAACATGAAAGAGATAAGAACCACAAAGCTGAGTTTAAAGCGCCCCATGTCGTTAAACATGCTAGTCACACATCTTAAAATTGAACCAGCGTGTGATGGATGTGACATACAATTCCAATGCTGGGCTGGGCTAGACAGTATCTCCAGGTCTGGCAGAGAAGGACCAGTGACAGAAGGACCACCGCTGAGGCTGTCATCTCTTTGCTGTTCTTAGAGCTCTTCTTGCTTCCACTTCCACCCGAGGGGACCAGCTACCGACTTTTATACCCAAGAAAGATTCCTAACAGCTCCTTCGTGAGAATGTGGTGATCACAGACGACCTGTGTAGTAGTTGCAATTCTGTCTGGGGGTGTTTCCTGAGAATCACTATAATTTATTATACACAGATGTAAGGTGAGTGTGTGGGATGTATGTGTGTATCGTTATGTCCTCCAGCTCAGTTGTAGGAGTTCTCTACATCAGCAGGTGAGTTTGGTATTGGAGCTGGGTAATACTAAATCAGGTAGAACAAACTTTCTGGATGGTTGCGAAACTGAGCTGTGTTAGCTACATCGCTCGAGTTGCATGGAACCATCTCCACACACTGAAATATTATGTTGGGGCAACGTTGACATTACACATCAAGCTATATGCCCCCACTCAGAGAACAAAAGTGGCATGCTCTATGGTATGGTGCATCCTTATCTCATAAGTCAGAGATCCACACCACACATACTATAAGCAATAATTTCCCACGTGGCACAAGTTGAGCATGACAAACATTTGTGGTTGCATGTGTCAACAACAAGGTAGAAAGCCAAAGGAACAACAAACAAGTCAACTACACCCTGGTGATGAGAGGAAACGGCGACATGCACTCTGGGTCCATCCACCCATGAGGAAAAGGCAACATGCAATCTCATTGGCATCAATAGCTCTGTATAGGTCTACAGTATAGCAGGAACTTCTGGAAGTACAGCTAGCTATCTGAGTGTGAGGCATGCTGAGGCATGCTTTTCCATTATTGGCGGGCGGGGAGGAGCCAAAAACCTAGTTCGTTTCGAGCGGAATTTTCTGTAATATTACGACGACCGTTGTACGTAGTATGTACGTCGTGTAAGTGCGCATGCGCGGCTTGCACGCGCTTCTTTTTATCCGAAATTATTCCAATTTTTACACATTTTCACACCACAGTGCCTCGCGATCGATTAGCTCCATTCGACGGCATGCGCTGCAGCCTTCGTGGACTGACGAGTCTGTCTCTTCCCAATCTTCATGGTTCCAAGCTGCAACTTGCAAATACGCTAGGATTGCTCGTACACATGGACCATCTAACACACGCCGCGTTGTCGGGCAGCCCGATGGATGTATACGCATGTAACGGCGACAGGTAGTTCTGTCTTGCTTCACGCAAGGAGAGCTGTGCGCTGACGGCACGTTATGCAGCCCGAACATCGCGGACAAATCCCAAGTTGGGTCGGTCCCGCTCGCCAACAATGTTCAACATTCTTCTAGTATTTTAACCCCCGGCGCGCATGCGCATTACTGTAGTTGTCGTGGGTGTCTGTCTGCTCGTCCGTTCCAAATCTCACTTCACGAGCAATCAATCGCTCCACAAACAATACCACGTTGTATTCAGCGTCGGATAAAGGCTATATGTAGGATTTTCTCTGAAACTGCTGCGTTCGAGAGTTACGGCGTGAAACACGAACGAAAAAGCCAATATGCGAATTAAAACAGGCTTACCTCCAGCGGGTCCGCTTGCTCTGTGTATCTTTAAGGCACAAGAAGTCCCAACGGAGGGTGCATTCGACTCCGCGATGCTCAGGCTCTCCGCGAGCTACTAACGGGAGACCACGGGTAAACGCATACTAGCCCAGCCCATCGCGCAGTTCGCCGAGGGTTTGCACTTCAGTGCTATTCTTGAGACTCTCTGCGTGAGGGTTTGCACTTCAATGCTATTTCATTTAACACTCGGCGCGCAACTAAAATCTCCAGCAGTGTCTAGCAAGACAGTGATGTGAGTCGTAGCCTGATAGAGCTTGAACATGCCGGTCCAGATTGGCCGTTATCTCTAGCAGCATACCCAGACTTAAGCCAATATATGTCATGCTAACTTGACTGACTGGTGATTGATACATCTCAAGGGTGGGCTGCTCGCCTGTGGTGCACCATATCCACCCGTCTTGCTGATTTAT